TCAAATCCAGCCTCAGACACTTGACACTTACTAGCTGTGTGACCCTAGGCAAGTCACTTAACCCTGATTGCCTCAGGGGAAAAAAAAAAGAATCAAATGGGATATTTGTGAAGCACTGAAAAGGAGAGGTGACTAGCACATAATAAGCTCTTAATAAATACTTATTCCCTTTGACCCAGTAATAGCACTTCTGGGACTGTACCTCAAAGAGATCATACAAATGGGAAAAGGACCCACTTGTACAAAAATATTCATAGCAGCTCTTTTTGTGGTGGCAAAGAATTGGAAATTGAGAGGATGCCCATCAATTGGGGAATGGCTGAGCAAGTTGTGGTATATGAATGTAATGGAATACTATTGTGCTATAAGAAATGATGAACAGGCTGAATTCAGAAAAACCTGGAAAGACTTGTATGGTCTGATGCTGAGTGAAGTGAGTAGAAGTAGAACATTGTACACAGTAACAGCCACATTGTGCAAAGACTAATATTGATAGACTTAACCATTCTCAGCAATACAAGGATCTAAGACATCTCCCAAGTCCTCGTGATGGAAAATGCCATCCACATACAAAGAAAAAACTGTGTAGTTTGAATACAGATTGAAGCATACTATTTGCTATTTTTTTCTTCTATTTTGTTTTGTTTTCTCTTTCTTGTGGTTCCTTCTATTGGTTCTAATTCTTCCTTACAACATCACTAATGTGAAAATATGTTTAATAGGAATGTATATGTATAGCCTATATCAGATTGTTTGCCATCTTGGGGAGGGAAGTGGGGAAGGAGGGGGAGAATAATAATAAATAAATAAATAAATGAACGAATAAATAAGTAAATAAATGCTTCTTCCTTTCCCCTTCATGCAAAGGAGAAAGTTCCACCCAAGATCATTTCCTTCCCTCAAATACTTTGTTTTTATCCTTTTTAAAGCATCATTGTAATATCACCTTACTTGTTCCTGAAAACAACCCTATGAGGGAGTCAGAGCAGTAATTATCCCCATTTTACAAACTAGGGAAACTGAGGCACTGGGCCTAATGAGACTTGCCCCAGGTCACGCTTGGAGTTAGTGCCAGAGACAGGTCTTTTGACTCCAAGCCCAATGTTTTCCTGCTTTATGCCTCCAGTGGGCATATATGTGTCCGGGTAAAATCTCATGGAAGAACTTTAGGATAAGGCTTAAACTATGGAGCAGCACCTAAAGCTTCCTTCCCCTTTCATCTCTTAACCTACCACATTTTGTCCTGGCTGTACCATGGCAGCGGGCACCTCTACCTTCACCAAGACACATCGGTCAGAGAGATAGGCCTGGAAGGAGAGTATGATTTCTGCCTGAAGAGATTCTGTGGGAGACACAATACAATTGAACTTGGTAAACATTTATGAATCACCTACTGAGTGCAGAGGGCTGTGGTAAAATACCGTGCTAGGAACAGCAGCCCGGGCTGGTCTGGGTAGTAAAGCAGGGACCAGGGACAAAGGGAATAGCATGCAAAGAACCATCCTTCCCCAGGGAGGAGCAGAGCAGAGAGGGGGCTGTCTCACCATTCCTAGGCCAAGGTCGAGATGTCAGTTCAGCATCTTCTTGGAGCCCATCCTCATCAAGATCCTCCTTCCTAGGCTCTAAAATAACTCTGTAAAGGCAGAGTCCCTGTGCCCTAGCACCCCGCCCATCCCCAGCTCAGAGACCGTGAGTAAGTTTTCTGGCCCCTTTCCCAGCTTTTCTGGAATTCCTTGTGCTGGGAAATAAAGCCTCTGGGCTGCATCCCAAGGGGTCCTACCTTCCTTAGCTGCTGGGACCTGAGATGGAGGCGCCCAGGTAGGAGGGCCCCTGAGCTAACAGCTGAGCTCCTGCCACTTCTAGAGAGTTTAAGGGGAAATCCTTCTCCCCCAAACTTTCTCTACTTCTAGCCCGTGGGCCTGAGCCCTCCTCAAATGACCATACTCTTACTGGCTTTCTTCTGCTTTCACCACTCCCTTCCCTCTATCTTTTCAATCCCTTTGTACTTCTTCCCCCTCAAATCTAATGACCTACATAGAAGGCAAGAAAGATTGTTCTGTCCTCTGCCCCAGCCTTAGCCCCCTCTTGCCTTCTACCAACATCTCTTCTTTTCCCCTCTTCTTTTTCCCATCAAGATTTTTTTCCTTGCTCCTTTCTTTTTCCCATCAGGAGCTCTCCCTTGTAAGTGTGATGTTGTCTACCACCAGAGTCCCCTGCTCCCCCATCCTACACTTACAATTTTAGAATTCAGAGCTAGAAGAGATGTGGAGTAGCACCCTTATGTGACAGATGCCCAAGGTCACCCAAGAGAGTCAGTGTAGTTCAGAAAAAGACTATTTGTTCTGGAATGAGGGGACCTGGGTTCAAATCTCACTTCTGGGCAATAATTTAATCTCCCAGCCTCAGTTTCCTCATCTATAGAATGGGAAGGAAGGGTGTTGAACTAGATGGCCCCTAAGGTCCATTTTAGCTCTAGCCCTATGATCCTATGAACCTAGATAGGAAAATGAAAGATTTGAACCTAAATCCTCTGACTTCAATCCAGTCTTCTTTCTACTGTGCCAAACTGTGTTCCTATCAGCTTTCTCTCCCTTCGTTCGGGAAGGTCCTTTTTACTTCTTACCCTAGACCCCATCCTACCCTCAGGACCTCCTCTACCCTCCACCTCTTTTCATATTAGATTAAACCCTCTCTCTGTCTTGCCCCAGAGGCCCACATCAGGGCAGGAGGTGCCTCCCCGCCCCATCACACACACACACACACACACACACACACACACACACACACAGAATCTCTCACCCTGCACTGTTAGGTGGAGGGTCACTCGAACACAGGGGACACAGTTAGTCTCTTCCCTGCATCGAAGAACCACCTCTGTCTGCAGCTTTGTGGGCACCAGCACAAGGTCTTGGGGGGGCTCGATTCTCTCCAGTAGGCAGAGCACATCATCTGAAGGAGAAGGCAAGTGGCAGCCTTTGGAAATACCCACTCCACCCAGGCCGGAACAGAAGTGAAGGATGAGAAGGGGAGGATACTGTGCTTGCCCTCAATGTTAGTACAAGGGTGGGTGCCCATAGGAGAGATTCTCTAGGAAGCCCCAGGGAACCAGATCATCCAAACCGAGGAGACTACGGAGGTCTCCAAAGAGCCAGTGGCACGCAAGTAAATTCCATCTCCAGTCTTCTCTTGATACTCACCCCAAAGGTGACATGAAAGGCCCTAGGAGAAGAAAGGTTCCATGTCTCCCCTTACCCAATTTTCCCACATGCATCCCTGAGCTCCCAGATTCCGTGCTAGCCTTAAGGATACAGAGAGACAGCTAGGGCCTCCGTGAGTCCAAAACTCCAAGACTTTTCCTGAGGTACCCCACTGCTCAAATCCCATGTTCTAAGTACAAAGATCTGAAACTGCTGAACCTCAGACTACCCAAGCCAGTAGCCTGGAGGGAAAGGATGAGCAGAGCCCTTCCCCCTAGCCCAGCACCAGCCTTACCTAGCCAGACCTGAAAGGGCAGTTAGACTGGAGATGGGCTGGTGCTGGCTGCTACTGCCAGAGCCCCGAGCCGCAATGTATGCTCTCCCCCAGCCATTCTCTAAACCCCTCCAAGACCCCCAGGAAGCCCAGGGTTTCCGACCTACCTGAGAACATCGAGCATCATCGTGGGACTCTGCCAACTTCTCCAAAGAGAAGACCCAGGGCCTGCTACCAAGAACCAAGGAAAAGAAGAGGAGGAGCCTTGGAACGGGCATCTTCTAGTTACTGATCAAAGTTGTCAGCCAGGGCTCAGGCCCAAGGCTGCTCCCCCTTGGGGGGAGAAGCTATTTCTGCCCTCCTCCACCCAGGGCTGTCGTGGTCAACCAACTGTTGCTCCTTTCCTCTAGGATGTCAAGTACTATCCCGGTGGGGCCAGGGGCCCCTCCCCTCCCACTCCTATCCTGGCTCTGGGGCCTCCTAGGGTGGGAGGGCTGGGAAGAGATTCCAGTCACTAGGCTCCCGATCACTCTTTTCAGTTTGATCTCTGAATCCAAAGTGCTTTCGATTCAGTTCTGAGCCTTGCTATCCCCGCCTCCTGTTCCAGCCCTTGTCCTGTCCCTCCCACAAAACACTGGGCCCTGTGCCCAATCTGGATGACTGGGAAGCAGGCAACTCACTGGCCACTCCACACAAGGTATAACCCACCCAGTTTACACACACACACACACACACACCCCCTTAGCTAGGGAGTGGCTGATAACTGAGGGCAATATTGAGCAAGGCCACCTACCACCCAGGGAGTCCTATGGGAAAATGGGAAAGGGGAGGGCAGTCCCAGAGGCCCTTCTCCGGGGACTTGCTGGTATGGAATTATTCCATGTCATAAAGTATGACATTCATCTTCCTGCTGCTGATGTTAAGGTAATGCCCAACCCCATTTCTCCTGGATCTTAAAGCCCTGACCTCTTCGTGTCTTCCCAGTCTGGCACCAGTATAGGCCCTAGGGCACTGATGGCATTGAGAGTCCATGGCCCTGTTAATACCTTCTGGGCCATGGTCACCCTAAGAGGACAATTGCCCCTTTTAGGTTCTTTGCTCACCACACAAAAGGGAGGGCTGCAGTTACAATTCAAGGGGACATGTCCCTCCACCAAGCCCAGGACACTGAACCTTGTTTGGTAAATATGTGTGATCTCATAAAATAACATAATCTGAGAGTTAGAAAGGACCTCCGAGCTATCCAGTTCATTCTGTACACAAAAGGAATACTCATTGTAACATACCAGATTGATGAAACCCACCAAGGAGAGGGTGCCACCTCAGCCACTTCAGTGGAGACCTTTGTCTAGGGCAATGGAGTCCACAGTAACTCCTCTTCTAAGGTCAAGTTTAGTTGCTATATTTCTCCTTATATCTGACTCCCATCTACCTGTTCTTGTGACCATTGATATAGACTTGGGTTCCTTCACGCTGGTCTTTTAAAAAAGTTTACCGATGTCTTTTTTTCATGGTCAACCCCTCACTTTATTGCCTGCAATACCTTTTCTTAAAAAATATTAAATGATTTTTTTATATTATAAACTAAAAAAAGTAGCAACAAACACCAACACTTCCATACACAAAGGCCAGAAAATTAGAATATATAAAACTGTGAATCTATAATATACAGATTGTTATTTAAATATATTAGCAGTATATTTTAAAATATTTTACTATCATATATTACATTTTCTATAAAATGTTTATTTTCAGTTTCAAATTTTCTCCCTCCCCAACGAATTTTTTGGGGTTATTTTCCAACATACTCCACACACCAGTTGAACTCTCCATTTCGACAAAAAGTCAAGTAAAATGAACAGACATAGCAGTAACTCCCCTCCCCCACCTTTCCAAAAGGAAGAAGGTGTGCTTCATTCTCTTTTCTCCCCGAATGTGGTCTTTACAATTAACTAATCAAAGTTTATTCTTTATAATTAACTAATCAAAGTTCATATGGTCATATTTTCACTGATCTTTATTCATCACGTTTGCTTTGTGTAGCCCATCCCATCCCATCCCAAGCCATATAAAGTAGCCTGAACAGCTGCTTCTGTTCTACCGGCTCCAGCTAAGTTCATAACTCAATCCCTTCCTCTGGAGTCCTCCCTAGATCTTGGGGATGATGGGGACAGAGGAAGGAGGCTAGCAGAACCACAGGCAAAGATCATAGCTCACCTATATCTAGAAAAGAGATGGGGTCAGGAACTCAGGGCTCACACATTCGCTCTTGTATTGACTTCTGATCAGTGGGGTGCAACTGTTTCTATCACCCCTTCCTTTGCTTCCTATCCCAGCTTCCCTCCTCCATCTTAGGTTTCAGTTCTCTTGCTTGGAGCAAAAAGATCTCTTCGCTGTTATCCCACCAGGAGGCTGTGGTGGGACGAGGGTGGGGAACACGAGGAATCCCAAAGACTACCTCTGATCTCTGATCAAGACACTTTAATAGAAGTGAGAATTCACGTGCAAAGAATGAGAAAGGGCCTGGAGACAGCAGAGGTCTGATTTGGGGGAGGCAGTAAGGCAGTCCCTCGCCGGAGATGGAGGGAAGATGTGGAGAGAGGGGCCAGATGCTTTGAGCTCTCTATTCGCTCTCCAAGACTTCTCTCCTCCCCGCCCCATGCACGCGCTCCGCTGGAGGCCCGCTTCTGAGAGGCAGAAGGCTCTAGCTTGGTTATGAGGCGGAGATGCTTTTGGCCTCCCCTTAGGTCGCTTCTCTTCACTTAGTATTGGGCTCCACTTTCCCCCTAGGAGCAAGGAACAAAGGAACCTCTCTCTTACTCCCTTCCAACTCATCCCCTGTCCGAGCTGAGCAGCTCAACCTGGGCTGCTTCCCGTTCCAGTCTTTGGCACAGCTCCAGGCGGTTCCGCAAATAGCACTGCCAATCTGCGCGCTCTGAGGGCGGAGGCCGGGGCCGGGGCCGGAGTCCAAGCCATGCTGGGGCTCTGAGAGCGTCCTCGGCGCCCAGGGCCCTGAGCAGCTGAGGCAGGTCTCCGAGCAAGCGGAAACGAGGGAGAGTGCGCAGCGGCCGGGGAATGTCCCCCTTGGCACAGAGCTTACTAAAGAAGGCCAGCAGGGGAGGTCGCGCCCCTCCAGCAGTTCCTGGGCCAGGGTGCAGGTAGCAGCTTAGGGCTGCTCGGAATAGGTCCTGGGGGTCCTGGGCGCATCTGGGCCCGGCCCCAGCCCGCCAGCGGCGGTAAAGGTGGCTGCTGGTCCGACTCCAGAGGAGCAACACGGTGCCCCGCTCCTGTGCCACGCGGGCCTGGGCCCCGCACAGCCAAGGAAGGGGCCCCAAGCGGGCTACGCGCTCCCCCTCCCACAGGTCCAGGATCACATCTTCGCCGCCTCCCAGGGCCACCCTCAACAACTCGGCCAGGGCGCCCACTAGACGGCGGTGCGCCTCCGAGTCCGCAGAGTAGAGCAGCAGCACGGGCCTGGGTCGTCCAGGGCCTGTGGAGAGAGCAGAGACAAGGACAGGGGCAGAATGAGGGAGAAGACTTGGAGAGGGGGCGCTCCATCCCACACTTCCTTTCCGCACCCTAACTCAGGCCTGAGGCAGGGCAGAGTCTACCCAGAGCTGAGAATGCATAGGGAGAGGAGAGGTAGGGCAGAGGTAGCTTTAGCAGTGGGATGGGGAAGGGCTTTGTGGGGCAGATGGGAAGACAGATCTATTCCCAAAAGGAGTCCTGATGCAGGAAGGTCCATATCCCCAAATCCCTTCCCCTCCTCATATACCTCCTGCACTGTCCTGGCCATCTCACCTGTCAGTAGCCTCTGTAAGCCCTGGTAGTTCAAAGCCAGGATAGTCACCAGCAGGGCAGCCCCCATCAACAGCCCCAGAGCCAGAAGCCCCAAGTGCCTGTGAGAGACTGAACCAGAAAAGGTGAGGCCAGGATAGGGCTCCCCTACCTCATCCCCTTTGCCATCTCTGACCCTGAGACTTACCATTGGGACATAAAAGGCGCTTCTGAGAATATTGGACATCTGACCTCCACACCTGCCCAGTAAAGGGTCCACAATGAGAATGAAGGTTGGGTAGGGAGGAGGGGGGTGGATATGAGAAAGGTTCATTACCAGAACACAGCCCCCGAAGCTCTGTAAGGGGATGATGAGATCTGACTTCACTGGGCCGGAACCATTAGGCTATGAGAACAAAGAATACAATGGTCATCTCCATACATGCAAATGTGTAAAGGGTTCTATAATTTTTGTAATGTTCCTCCCCTCTTTAACAGTGGATAGAGCACACTTAGAGTCAGGAAGAAGTGAGTTCAAATTCTGCCTCAGACACTTACTAGCTGTAGGACCCTGGGCAAGTCAGTTAACCTCTGTTTGCCTCAGTTTCCTCATCTGTAAAATAAGGAATGGCCTCTAAGGTTCCTTTCAGCTCTAAATCTATGATTCTATGCTTTTATGATCAGGAATTCTTCCTGTCTCCTTTCTGCCTATCTTCCTCATTCTTGAGGGGATGGAGTCCAGTAATGCCTTCTCCATGAAGCAGTCCCTAATTACTGCAGCTTGCCTTCTCTGACTTCCCATAGCATTGGCAGGATGGTGCAGTGGAAAGCAGTGAGTCTGAAGTCAGAGCACCTATATGCAAATCCTAGGGGTGCTACTTACTGTGTGATCTTAGGCAAATACCTTTATCTCTCTAGACCTGAGTTTTCTCAGCTAGAAAATGAGGGGGTTGGACATGAAAAGAAGCTAGAAAAGAAATTCAGGGTGGGTGGGAGCTAGGGGGTGGGATAATTGCAACAAATAGTACCCGGAAAAGTCTTCTTCACTGATTGATTCTACCTAAAATATATAGACTATATATATATATATATACATATATATACATACAGTATATTGATTATATATTTGACTATAATATACTGATTTAGTATTACATATAGTATACTGATTTTATCTAAAATATATAGACAAATATATAGTAATTGACACACATACAGAATGCCAAAATCCATTCCTCAACAGATAACTGAACAAAGGATGGTACTAAAGGGTTTCCAAAAGAATTGACAATTACAAATGACCATATTAAAAACATGCCTCCAAACTGCCAATACTACAAGAAATCAAATGAAAACTACTCTGGTTTCATCATTTAAGCAGCCAGGGGCACAAGACTTAGAGTCAGGAAGACCTGACTATGTGTGTCTACTAAGTGTCAGGAAGACATTTACTGTTACCCTGGGCAATACATTTAACCTCTCTTTTCTTATGTTTCCTCATCTGTAAAATGGGAAAAATAATAACAATCTACCTCACAGGATTATTGTGAGGTCAAATGAGATAACATCAGTTAAATATTTTGCAAACCTCAAGGCCCTATTATAATTGTTATCTTATACCAGCGGTGCCTGAACTTGCAGCCACACGTGGCCTTCTAGATTTGACTGAATTTGGATTCAGTCAAAAGGTCATGCTTAGGGGCGGCTAGGTGGTGCAGTGAATAGAGCTCTGGCCTTGGAACCAGGAGGACCTGAGTTCAAATCCAGCCTCAGACACTTAACACTTACTAGCTGTGTGACCCTGGGCAACTCACTTAACCCTGATTGCCTAAGCAAAAAAATTTAAAAAAAAAGAAAAGGTCATGCTTAAGGATCTAGAAGGCCACGTGTAGCCTCAAGGCCTCAGGTGCCCGACGCTTGTCTTATGCCATGCAAACTGGTGAAGAGGATAAAAGATGGGAGTAGTAAATGTTCCATAAGGGGTGGACCTACAGAAATCTAGGGACCCCTTTCTCAGAACAATGTCTTTAGATACATAAAATAAAATACATAGGTTTGCAAAGGTAATAAATCATATTGAAATGCAGTTATCAAAATAATAATTTTAAAAACCAAGTCCACAGTTCCCAGGTCAAGAACTCCTGTTCTAAAACTTAGGCAAGCAACCTCAAAAGGCATCTGACCCAACCCCAGTGTTCTGTGGGAAGATTTGTACACTGATTCACTCGCTACTGGTGGACATCAGTGGTTCAACTATTCTTAAAAAGAATTTGGAATTATGCAAGAAAATGACTATACTGTCCATACCTTTGACCCAGCAATCCTGCTACTGGGCATATACCTAAAGGAAGTCAACATATATTAAAATATTTATAGTAGTACTCTTTGTGCTAGAGACAAAGAAATAGAGACTAACTGAGAACTCATCAATAGGGGAATAGCTAAAAAAATAAAAACAACCCAATGGTATATTAATATAATGATATATTATTGTACAGTAAGAAATGATGAATATGAGGGAATTCAGAGAAACACGGAAAGATTTTTATGAACTGATGCACTGTGAAATAGGCAGGCCCAAGAGAAATAGGCATAATGACTACAATGTAAAATTAAAAGATTACTAAAAGAAAGTCAACTCTGCGTGACAGAAAAAAAAAAAGGTCCTGATGGATAGATAACAAAATACATCTCCCTTGACTCAGCAGAGCATTGGAATACTACTAAAACAGAATACACCATGTCATCCAAGACGGTCATTCTAAGACATATTTTTGCTTAATTATTTCTCTTTGTTACAAGGGAGAGTTCACCCTACAGGAGTAATGAAATGAAACAACTATTAAAATAACTGTAAAAATTAAAGGAATCCACAAAACATAGTTAAAAAAAAAGATCTGTCCAAATGTATGGATCAGACTCTGCTCTTTCTTGAGGATTGAGTATGACTCAGTCTTCAGAGGCCTGAGGCAAGACTTCTAAGACACTATTCTCCAGCTTGATAGATCCCAAAGATGTTCCACTGTGTTACAGCACCTGGGTAATGTTGGAAGGAGAGATCAGGATGAAAGACGGAGGTGATTGTGGCCATGGTGTAGAGCAGAGAGGACGTGTGTATGTGCGTGCAAATACGAAATGGAGTAGAGATGAACAGTTGGCTAGACCAGTTGCCACAACCTAGTAAGGTCACAAATGTGTCAGGAACTGAAAAGTGAGGAAATGCTGTTCTAGACACAATACCAGAAATTCGAGTCTAAGACAGAGATTCTTAACTCCTCTGGTGCTACAGACCCCTTAGGTGTCTGGTGAAGCCTACAGACATCCTTTTCAGAGTAATGTTTTTAGATGCATAAAATAAAACACAGATTTTCAAAGGTAATAAATTATATTGAAATATAGTTATCAAAATTAAAAAAAAATTTAAGTTCATGGCTTGGATTAAGAACACCTGCTCTGAGACTTAGATAAGAAACCTCAAAAGGCATCTGGCCAGCCCCCGCACCAAACAATAGTTTCCCTAGCATCTCTAACAAATGGCCATTCAGTCTTTGCTGGAAAACCTTATGGGACAGGGAGGTCACCACCTTCCACTTTTGAATTGCTCTGATTATTTGGGAAGTTTTTCCTTACGTTGAGACAAAAGCAGCCTTTCTACAGTCTTCTCTCTGGGCTGCTGGTTCTGCTCTCTGGGGCCAGACAGAATAAGACTCTTCCCTCTTCCACATAATAGCCCTTCAAATACTAGACAGCCATGTCTCCTTCTAAGTCTTCTCTTGATAACGTCTTTTGAGGTTTCTTATCTAAGTCTCAGATAAAGGGCAGAAGGATTGTGGGACAAACTATAGAGGTAGACAAAGTACAGCAGTGAAGAGCTTCTTGATTTCTCCCTAATATTAATACCCTCACCCACCCACCCACACCCCTTATGTTCATGGCTAGTTTTCAAGAGGTGAAGGGAATGCTGGAACCTGGGACAGTAGGAAGAAACAAAGATTCTGGCCACAGGAGATGGCAGAGACTGGTGTAGGCTGCAGAAACTGTACCTGGCTGACAGAGTAAACAGGCAGCTGTGGATCGTAATGTTCCACCCCCGGGAGGCACCAAGCAACACTGAAAGCAGCTGGGGTCCTTGAGGAGAAGTGCAGGACCAGTCGCTGGTACTGAATATCCATGCTCACGTTCCAGGAGGAGGCTGTAAAGGGGTGGATTACAGAGTTACACAGAATGAGTTTTACACAAGTAGTTAGGATGGAGTTGGGGGTGAGAAGCAAAGGTGTGACTAGAGGATTGGTACAGTCACAGCTGAGTGAAGGTTAAATGGGGGTGGGGTGGAGATGAGGGAAGATCACGTGCTCACCGTTCCTATGGGGACATTCAACGTGGGTACTATTCCCAAGAGAGAACTAGGGAAGAGAAGAAAAGAAAGTCACCAGGATGGAGGTGGAAGGGGGAGAGAGACATATTTCCCCTTTCATATGACCTTCTCATCCTCTGTTTAACCAAAGCATCAACTCTCCTTCTTCCCAGAAATTTCTGCTGCTAGAGTCATACCTTGAAGCAAAGATGCGGGTGCAAATCCACCTTCTCCAAAACATACCACTGTTGGGAAAGAAAGGAGTCAGATGGGAAAAGTTATCAGCCCCAATTCACCCAGGGTCACATCTCATGCTGTGGGGCTACAGTATATGTTGAAAGTTCCCTTAATGTTAGAGAGATGAAAAAAAAAAATCTGCTCTCTCTCCTTTTCTCCCTTCCCCTCTCCCTCCCTCTCTCTCCTCTCTCCCTTTATGCCCCACTCATGTCTCTCTCTGTCTCTCTCCATCTTACCCCCCAACTCTCTCCACCCCCTCCTTACCCCTTCTGACGAAGAAACCGTGGCATTGGGAAGGTCTTCACAGGGACTGTGCCAGCTCTGTTTCTGGCACAGGGAGGCCTTGAGCTTCACCGGGCAGCGTAGGGTTAGGATCATGGCCATCTGGTCCTGGTAGCTGTGGTCAATGAACTGCACTGACCTCCAGAAGTCCATGCTGTCTATGGGCAAAAGGTCTCCTGGTGAGGTGTTTGCTCACCTTCAGGCCTGTCTCTGCTTCATCCTACCAACACCCTGATGTCCTTGCCCCTGCCCCAGATAATTTCTCTGTTGTGGTGCTAATGTGATGGACAAGGCAGATCAGGCCATCCCAATGTCCTTCATATCTGACCCAACTCTAGAGCTAATGGCTCTCCAATGTGCATCCTCTGCTCCACACGGTCTAGTCTGCCCCTTGTCTCCTCCCTCCCCCACTGCCACACACAGACCATGTTCCCTGCTCTGTGATTTTATCAATGCTGTCCTCTCCCCACCAACTATCCAACAGTATCCACGCTTTAAAGCCCAGTTCAAATCCCTCTGCTCCCACAAAGCAGTCCTGGATGGCTCCAACCTACCTGGTTTTCTTCCTTCTTTGAAATCTTAGAGCATTTACAATTTGTACCATAAGACTGGTCTTGTCTTTATTCACTATCTTGTACTGTGTGCCATTTTATAACACTCATTGAACAAATACTTAAGGAGTAGATGGCACTGTATAGCATGTCTCCCCATCTAGGCCACAAGGAGGGAGAAACAAGCATGCCCATCAAGGGTGTGATGTTTATTGACTGACTTATTGGAGTGTCGGTGCCACTGGCATCTTATCTCCTGTTCCCAAGGTGAAAAAATAGGGCAGTTCTCTCCACCCACCCCAACCTTAAGTCCCAGCAATAATGTCATTTGGAGGAGTTCATCCTTAGAGTGAAGGATGGGGAGGAGGTTTGTGTGGGCTACTCACAGACTTCAGGTTGGTCCTTCAAGGGGCACTGCTTCCTCCGCACACTGTCGTGGTGCAGGTATGCTGCCTGATGGAATGAGGAGGGGTGAGGTTGGATGCTCAGAAGGGCAGACTTCTTTATACCACCTAGACCCCAAACCCACTTTGATCTGGCCCTGTTAGAATCCAATGCTCTGGGGCTAGAGATAAGCACTAGAGTATGCACTCTGCATCCAAGAAGGGGACCCATATAAATTGAGAGAATTCAACTCTTTGAAGGAGAGGAAAAATCAGTAGGTGGGAAGCCAAATAAAATAGGAATAATGATAATAGCTGATATTTAATTTCTTTTTTTCCACCAAGAACTATGTCACATCTGGCACCCTCACCCTTTGGGCTCCATCACACCACCTCCAGCCTCATTTCAGCAGTACCTCCTGAGGCATTCATTGCCTTCAGGTAGCCCCCACCTCCTTGACCTAGGCTACTCAGAGCCCCCTAATGTTATGCTCAGCAGAACCTACAGCCCCCAGTTCTGGTACTTTCCCTTTGCATTCAGTTTATTTACTCATCAACCATCGGTCATGCTGTGCCCTGCCCCACCCTGCTATGTTTCATAGCTCCAGGATCTTGTTTTCTCCTTTTCCATCTCATTTTATCAACCAATCCATGTTAAGTTGGGAGGAGGGGAATGGTCACTTGAGGTCAGGATCATCCCTTCAAATGACCCCAGTGGAGACTAGGTCAATTCCAGTTCTGAACTCCTAGGACAACTTAATAAATGATTGTTGACTATTGACTGACTCAGCGTTCTGATGCAAAACTGGCATCCAGATCAGTCCTAGATTGGGTGCAAGAGACAAAATTATATAATGAATAAAATGCTGGAGTCAAGAATGTTGGAGTTCAGGTCCTGCCTCAGACACTAACTGTGTGACCCTAGGCAAGTCACAACCTCTTAAAGCCTCTGTTTCTTCATCTGTAAATTGGGGGTAATAATAGAACCTACTATATGGGGTTATGAGGATCAAAGGAGAAAGTATACACAGAGCACTTTGGAAAACTTAAGATGAAATATAAATATTGGCTTCTCTTCCTAGACTGGCCATCCTAGGCCCTCCCTTAACATCCCATTGGATGGATAAGAAGTGAGTCTCCAGATGTAGGAAGGATGAGGGCCAGGAACAGCCACTAATCTCCATGGGTACCATGGAGAATTAAAAGTACACATATTCCCCCATCAAAGTCTCAGCAACACCACCTCTCACCTCTATGCAAAGACAGGGCAGCAGGAACTCATAGGGCAGCTGGATGGTGTGACCTCCAGACACAGTCTCCTATAGGAGAAGCAGAAAGGGGAGGAAAGGAAGATGCCTAAGGAAGGGCAGGTGCATTCTGGATGGGTATCTCCAGGCTCTGAAGAGGATCTGGAGGCTTAAGGATTGAGGCAGAGGAAAATAGGACCTAGGCTTGAAAGTTCCCTGTGATGGTTGGTCAAATATATCTAATTTATCACACTGCAAAATACTCTTTCTTTTTCCTCTGAAAAAAATTGCTCTCCTTGGGGAGGGTCTGTATTTTGTGTTTCATAGTTTGTTTCCTCAGTCCCATTCTCTACATTTTGCTGTCTGGGTGCCTGACAATTATGTTGTGGGAGAAGGATTAGAGGTACATGCAAAGAGACTTGGGCTGGAGTCCCATCCCCTGGGCTGCTCACCTGGGGCAGACTGACTTCCCTGATGTAAACAGCCAGAATCAGGAGGCTGGATGCCAGGATTACTAGGCTATGACATATATGATATGTCTGTGATCCTATGAAGTCCTCATAACCACTACCTGGTCTCAGAGGTGACAACTGAGAGCTACTGGGGGATGAAGGTCATTGGAGCACTGTGGCATGGGCCAAATCCTATAAGAATTCACCTGGAGAACAGGGGGAAGGTGGAGTGCCAGACATATAGCACTTTGGAAGAAGACTGTACAAGGAACTCAGAAGGCCTGAGTTCTACTACCAGCTAGGGACACCAACTCACTAAGTGACCATGATTAACCTCTTTGGGCCTCAATTATGCTTATCTATAAAATGGGACTAATAATTCCCATTCTACTGATAATGAAAATGATTCCCATTTCCTGATAGAGAAGTGAAGGACTCAGTAAGCAGAATGAGACACTTATTTCTGGACTCGGCCAATGAAACAATTTGCTTTGCTTGACCAAGCTTATTTATTATGAAGTGTTTGGTTTTCTTTTTTCCTTTCTTTCTTTTTCTTTTTTTTGGTGGGGAGGGGAAATGAGAAGGAGAAAAAATAAGTGCTTGATAATTGAAAAAAAAATTTAATTAAAAAACCAAAACAAAACAATCCCTGTCCTACTAATTTCACTAGGACCCTATGAAGAATAAAAGGTAATAATATGCACAAGAGGGCTTTGAAAAACCTAAAGCACTATGCAACTATAAGGGGATATTATAAAGAATTTCTCTAACCCTTTTTACCTCCAAACCCTGGCTGGGCTGGGATTCTTATAATCTATCCACTGCTGGGATTTTTACAGTCTGGCCACTTGGTCACAGGTGCTCAGATTCCTTAAGAGTCTGGCCAATATGATGGATCTTTAATAAACCTTGTCTTTGGCTGAAAAAAGAAAAAAGAAAAAAGAAAAAAAAACCCTGGCTGGAATTTCAGCCCCATTGCTTATCATAGTGATAGATTCAGCAGCCTTTCAAAGACACAGTGTCATGTTGTTATAACCCTTGCTTGGCCAGAGTTATAGAGTCACCAGAAATGCCCCCCCTAAAAATTTGCCCTCCATAAACTTCTTAAAGCAATCGAAGATATTATTGGGGCCAGCATTGATGGGTTCGATTATAGAGAAAAAAATTTAAATATTTGAACAATGGGAGCAAAAAACCTAAGATAAAAAGAAAAAACAAGAAACAAAAACACTTATGAACAATATATTGGGTACATCTTGACTTCTAGAATATACAGAGAACTAATAAAAGGGCAGCAAAGCATAGTGGATGGGGCCAAACTAGAGCAAGGAAGACCTGGGTTCAGGTCCTGCCTCAGTATCATGCTGGTATGTTAGTGACCATAAGGAAATCACTTAACCTCTCAGTGCCCCAGGCAAGTCTCTAGATAAATCACAGATGAGATGGAGCTCTAACTCAGTGGAAGGTCTTTCTATGTCAAGAGCTCCCCCACACTAATGAAATCACAAATCTCTAACTCCCCCACAAAAAGGAGGTAAAAAGTAAATACATATCAAGTTATTAATAGTTAAAAAGGATAGAGAGACAATTCATAAAAACCAGTAATGGAACTAAAGAACAGGTAATGAAACTTTTCCCCCTTTTCATGGCAGAGCACAGGGGGCAGAAGAGTATATACATTGTCAGGTATGGTCACTACACCCATGGTATATATGTATGTGTGTGTGTATATACACATATATACATATATATATATACATATACATACACATATACACATATACACACACAGAAAGAGAATTACAAGAAAGGTTACAGACAAAAGGCATCCCAAAACACTTTTGTTTGTTGTCCTTTTTTTGCTAGGCAATGTGTTAAGTGACTTGTCCAGGGTCACACAGCTAGTAAGTGTTGTGTCTGAGGCCAGATTTGAATTCAGGTCCTCCTGACTCCAGGGCCAGTGCTCTATCCACTTCGTCACCTAGTTGCACCTCACCCAAAATGCTTTTTAAAATAAAAGTTCTGAAAGGAAAAAGTAGGCAATTTATGGGGGAAAAAAAGCAAAAAGTAAATAAGCATGAGGAAGCATCTAACCTCACTAACAATTTTTTGAGGGGAAGCAATCAGCATTAAGTGACTTGCCCGCAGTCACACAGCTAGTGTCTGAGGCCAGAATTGAACTCTATCCACTGCAGCACCTAGCTGCCCCTAATAATTAAAATAATTAAAGGAGATGAGAATGAAAACTACAAAGTACCTTCACACATTCATTAAACTATCCATCCAATAAACAATTAAATAAAAAAAGAGAAAACCGGTGGTGCAGGCATACTCTCCAGCACTGAGCAGAGTAATATTTCTGGAAAGCAAAGTGGCCCAGTATGACAAAATTGGCCATGCCCTTTGACTTGGTGATCCATCCCACAGTTGGGACTACATACCAAGAAAAAAAAATTAAAGTGAAGAAAGGTCTCTACGTACAAAGACTTTTACAGCAGCACTGGTTAGAACAGTGAGACTCAGGAGGGAAAGAGACATGAGTTATTGAAAAGTTGCCCACTGGATTTGGAATCAGGGGACTTCTCTCTTTTGTAAGGGAACCTGTGCCACCGACCTGGGGCCAAGGTAAAGTGAGATGGATGGACTGCATGGTCTCTGAAGTCATTCTAAGCTCAAAATCCCCCTTATGTATACACACATGTGTGCATACATGTATGTATGTGTGTGCATGTATGTATATGTGTGTATGTATACATGTGTATATATGATAAGTTACAGATGAGATGGAGATCTGCATTTACATGTTTTTTAAAAATCGGAAACTTCACAAAAAATTAGAAACTTCACAAAAAGCCCAACTTTTTTTTTAGCTGAGATTCATTTGAGCTGATAAGTACCTCTTTTTTCCCCATGCTTTTAAAATTCTGAACTTAACACAAAAAACACCCCCAAATCGTTTCCATTACAAAGTAGAACACAAAAAAGTATATGAAACCATAAACATCTATTCCATACTACTTGTTCTTAAAAAAAAAAAGACATCACTTTCAAAGTTATCCTGCTTGTCTGTTTCCTTCCATTCATTCTCTTCTGTGCATTAAAAAAAGTTTCAATATTCTTTTCTTCAACATCACCAATGCTACCTCCTCTCCCCTCTTCCCCATACCATTTCTATTAAAAACAGAAAGAAAAAAACCCCCACCTTGTAACAAATTAGCACAGTCAAGCAAAACAAATCCCTACAATGGCAAGGTCCAAAATATCTATTTCCTTCTGAACCTTGAGTTCATCCTTTCTCTGTCAGGAGGGGGCTCACGTGAGAGAAGTTTCTCCTTGAAATGCATCTATGAACATTCTCAGCAGGTTCAGCCTATCGTATTTTATGCAATGACTGTCTGGGGTAGGGCAGGAGAGAGTAGACATAATAAATAATAAGTAATCCTTGGAGAACAGATGTGAGAAAATGAAGAAAGATGGACTTTTGCTTAAGGCCCTGTGGGACCCTACTGTAAAGACATTATTCTCTCCTGGAAGGCACTGGCATAGTAGAAAGAGCATTTGGCCTTGGAGTCAGAAGACCCGGGCTCAAATTGCAGCCCCTCCACAATGGGCAGCCAATATAATTCAAATCACCTAAACTAAATCTCAGTTCCCTCATCTGTAGAATGAACATAATCTATACTTGCACTGCATACATTATTTGGTTGTTGTGAAGAAAGAACTTTTAAAACTATTAAGTGCTACATAAAAGGGAGTTCTTTGTAGAGTTATTTTCTTCTCCCTTCCCTGAGAAGGCCCTCCAGGGACCCTCAGGCTCTATGGTCTGTCTGCCCAACGGATTGCTTTTTTTTTTTTACCTGTTTGTGGAAGGGACTGCTCAGTTCCTCACACTCGAGAACCCACTGGTGGCACAGCCTCACACTGATGTCAGGGCCCAGTGGGGCTGTGACCTGAACAGCCCTCTCTCCCAGGAGCAGCACGAAGGAGAACTCAGGCCCTGGAAGAAGCAGATGGAAAGGCCCTGACCCTCAGCTCAGAACATGCCAGGGCAGGCTTGATCACTGCTGCATGGGCACCCTCTGGGGCTCTACCCCCAGCCCAGCCCACTCCTCCAGCAAGCACACACTCATGCTCACCTCTAGGCCCTTGGGAAACAGGCAGCTGCGAAGTCCCATCGGCTATCTCTGGAAGGCTGAACTGGGTCCTTTTTAAGCGCAGCCCAGAGCTGGGCACAGCTGGGAAGGAGACAGCAACACGGTGGCCCTGTCTAGCCAGGCAGCAGTCACATAGCCACTTCCACTGAGGACAGAGGACAAGACGATCTTGTATGTGCACCGCTGTCTCCACCAGTAGAAGGTGAACTATTCGAGGGCACAGACTGTGTTTTTGTCTTCCTTCATGTCCCCATCACATTTTATCCCCATAGGCACTTTAAATACATATTTATTGATGATCATCGTGAGCCATAAAGCACAATAACCTTGGACTAGAAGTCAGAGATCTGACACCTGTCCTGCTGACCACCTGTGTGGCCACGGGTTAAGTCACTCAAGGTCTCAGTTTTCCTATCTGTAAAATAAGAAAAATAATCCATCTCATCCTTCCTTTCCCACATCTTCCACCTAGACAATGAGAGGATGGGATGAGGTGATAGATGTGAGAATGCTTTGATAATAAAAATGTTAGAGAGATCAGGGTACAAACAAGCTTTGAAATGAAGAGGGGGTGGGAGAATGGAGGAAGAGTCGGGATACCTGGGCAGCAGTTGGCATCCTGAGCCTCGTGCAAAGCTGGAACTTTGGGGACTTGGGAGATTTCCGCATTAGAAAGTGAAGCCAGGGCTTTCGAAGACCTGAGGGTGGGGTAGGAGAAAAACATCACTGGGGATATATAGTCCCTTCAGACAGAGGTCATAGGATATGGAATTAGAGCCAGAAGGAACTTCAGAAGCCAGGTCATCCAACCCCCTCATTTTACAGATGAAGAAACAGGCCAGGAGAGACTTTTGATTGGCCAAGGTAACATAGCTAATAGATATCTGAGGCGGGATTTGACCCAGGTCTCCCTGACTCCAAATTCGAAATTCTAGCCTCTACCCCAACTCTGCCTCCTTTTCCTAATGAAGCATATTGGATATTAGAAAGTGTCATTTGTTTTGGGGTTTTTTTTTTGCTTTTAGGCAATTGGGGTTAAGTGACTTGCCCAGGGTCACACAGCTAGTAAGTGTCAAGTGTTTGGTCTGAGGGCAGATTTGAACTCAGGTCCTCCTGACTTCAGGGCCAGTGCTCTATTCACTGCGCCACCTAGCTGCCCCTTAGCACTATTGGGTTTTTTTTTGTTTGGTTTTTTTTTTGTTTGCTGGTTTGGTTTTTTTAGTGAGGCAATTGGGGTTAAGTGACTTGCCCAGAGTCACACAGCTAGTGAGTGTTATGTGTCTGAGGCAGAATTTGAACTCAGGTCCTCCTGACTTTGGGGCCGGTGCTCTATCCACTGTGCCACCTAGCTGCCCCTAGAAAGTGTCATTTGGAGACACAGCATGGTGAAATGGAGGTAATCCTGGCTGCAAGGCCAGGAAGATCAGGTTTGGAATCCCATCTCACAGACATAACCTTGGGCAAATCATTTATCCTCCAGTCTCTCAGCCTCAGTTTCCTCATCAGTAAAATGGAGTTAACAATAGCCCTACCTCACAGGTTGTAGTAAGGAGCAAATGAGATACTGTATATAAAGCACTTTGTCAATGTAAAAGTGCTCAATGAAAGTTAAAACTTTAAAAATTCAGGAGAAAGATGGGGCTACTATAGGCAGGCAGACTAAAAAGACTGAACCTCTTTGTAGACCATCTTAACGTTTTACATTTCAGACCAATCCAAGTCAGTGCTGTAGTCTGGTTAGATAGGACCTCTTGCCCTAGAATGGGCAGGGTGCAGGGACATGTGGGGAGAATCAGCCAGAATGACAGCTAAGTTTGGTAAATACCACTCCCAACTTCAAAGGGTTCCACTAACCCACATGGTTACTCTTTCCTGGCCTACTCACCAGAGATACAGCAATAAAACGTTCCAGTTCTCTACACCTACCTTGAGAAAACATCCCACGGACTCTAACCTCCCTGGGCCATTCAGAGCCGGTCTGAAATGTTCTCTGCGGGGCTGGGTGCCTGAGATTAAGCATGTTTTTTTCATTCCAAATAACTGAAACCAACACCAAGATGGTGGATGGAATGGGATGGCAGCCAAATGGTCAGGGCACATGAATCCTCAAAACCTTGGCCCACTAAATCAAGGTTACCACTGTTGGCTGTCTCCCCACTCCCAAGCCCGGAATTCTCTCCTTCTTCATCTCTACCTCTGACTTCCTTCAAGATCCTGAAAAAATTCTACCTTCTTCAAAAAGTCTTTCTTGATCCCCCTGGTACCTTTCCTCTGTTGTTATCTCAACTTATCCTATATATATCTTGTTGGTGCACAATTGTTTATATGTTGTCTCCCTCCTTAGACTGAGTTTCTTGACAGCAGGAACTGTCTTTTGCCTCTTTTTACATCCCCAGCACTTGGGCTAGTGCCTAGCACACAGTAGGGGCTTAATAAATGCTTGTTGACTGACCTAGGTTCTATCTCTGTACCTTTTATATGTATTTTTAAAAAATTTTTATAGGCAACTGGGTGTTAAGTGACTTGCCCAGGGTCATACAGCTAGTAAGTGTCAAGTGTTTGGTCTGAGGATGGATTTGAACTCAGGTCCTCCTGACTTCAGGGCTGGTGCTCTATCCAGTGTGCCACCTAGCTGCCCCCCTGTACTTTTTGATACTAGACCTGACAAATATAGTCTATAAAACCTCAAAGGGCATAGAAAGTTCCCCAAATCCCAGTGTACTAAAACTAAGTTGAGGAGTACCACTTAAAGACTGCAGGAGGTAAACTGAGGCTAAACAAAAGGAGGTCCTGCATTACACAGAGAACTCAGGAGAGGCAAATTCATAACTCAAAGAATTACTAAACACTGAAAATATGAAAAATTTCAAATAAGATTTCAAAGATACATAGGATCATTTTGGCATGTCCTTAAATCAGTTTAGAGTTCACGAAGGGAAGGTGAGTACGTTTTTCCACAGGTAACACAGTACAAAGAGTAATGAACCGGGAAATAGGAGATGCAGGTACTACAAGTCCTGGCTCAGTCACTAATTAGCTGTGTGACCTTGAACTAAGAATTTCCCCTCTTTGGGCTTCAAGCTTCCTCATCTATAAAATGAAGGCATTGAGCTAAATGATTTCTGAGGTTCCTCTCAGATCTAAAATCCTATGATTTCATGATCTTGTGTCCCTTTTGATTTCTGTAAGAGACAAACCGGGATTCAGTGAACTCTCGGTTGGAACTAAGATCCCAGACCTTAATATCCCGCTTCTAACGTTATTTCTCAAGGTGTCTCTCTCCCCTTCCCCAAGTGCCCACTCACTAAAAGTGAAAGAATTATCTAATAGCTTTAGTCCTACCCCAACTTTTCCAGTGGGAACTGACTAGTCCCAAAGGGTGATCCTTCTGTCCTAGAGGTCTGTTCTCCATACCTGGCATGCTCAAAGCAAGTTGGATGTGGAAGCAGAGTGGGCATCGCCTCGCCAGAGAGCACTGTGACCTTTTGGACAAGACCCCATTCTGGTGAAGGTCAAGAGCAGGACTTTCTGCAAGGGATTAGGAAGGGGGACAAACATTGGGGACTCAGGTACATTTCTCTGTACTGACAGGAGAAACTAGTTAGGGTTCAAGAGCAGGGAGCCCGGGAGACTCTTCAAGGGCTTGAAACAAGTTTTTGTTTGTTTTTTTAAAGACAAAACAGACTCACCGATAAAATTGTCATCCTGTCAGGGTTGGGGGCCCAGGGGCCAGGTTGGAAAGGAAGGAAAAGAGGCATTATTATAAAGACTGTCAGGGAAAAACTAACCCAGGACCTTTGTCCCAAACTGCCTACTGGAAGAGTTATCGGGCTACCAGCCCACCCACTCAGGGTTATTTGCTGGTTCCACCCTATATGAGCCACAAACCCACCAGCCTGTTGTCCGAGCAGACACATTGGGGGCAGGAGAGGAGGACAAGGGGGAAGCAGGGAATGAAGTGAAGGAGGATCTTTGACAGACCGAGGGCAGGTAGGGAGTGGGAAGTGGGGGCCAGGGTTGTCCCCAATGCTTCATGTCCTTACCATGTGGGAAGATTGAAAACAACGGGGCCCCCACCAGTTCACATGAGAGGACCTGCTCCCAGAATAGCCAGAAAGGCTGATGAGAAGAAGCAAAGAGCGAACGAGGGGAGCCCCTGGCAGCAGGCTCCCCATGAGCATCGGAGAGATCAGCGCACTGGGAACATGGCTGCATTGCTGGAGATGGGCTGCCAGGTGTCCCTCTTCTGTACAGGACGCTCCAGCCCGAGCCTGCCCCTGTGTCTGCCCTGAAGCTCCTCCTCAGCTGCTCACCAGCCGGCCAAACCACATTCCTTTTCTTCCGAGCTAGGGCTTGTTCTGGAAAGGAGTTCTGCTCCCAGTTCCTGAAGAGTCAAAGGCCTCCAGAGGCTGATTTGCCCTCTAGGGTGGAGCAGGTAGGTGGAGGAAAGGGTCTGCTTTTAAGGGAAAGGTCGGGCTGCGCCCACAGATAGGGAGGAGTGTCTGCCAAGACTGGCTCTCTGACCCCTCCCGCCCCTCACCTCCACCACCCTGGAGCTCTGATCTTTTCACCCGTCTGTCTCGCAGCTCTAAATCTCTGACGAGACAGATCTCGAGGCACGTGCACAGCGCTAAGATTTCTTTCCACCCTTATTCAGGGAAGCCACTTGCTGTCTCCTCTCTGTCCTACCCAACAAGAACTATTTTTCTTCCTCCTGTTAACCTATGGATCTCTTTTTGGTCTGGGTACTCTGGAGAAAAGTGTTTAAGTCAGAGGGACCCAGGAACCTCAAGGCTTCATTTCTCCAGGCAGCTGAGTCAGGCAGTTCCAAAATTTGCCCCTGAGCCCTGGAGATAGGGGAGGGGCCCATGTACAATACTGACCTGGTTTCCTGCGGTTTCCTGTGCTGGAAAAAAAAAAGGTGGGGGAGGGGGATCGACTAGGTTCCATCATTTGTGGGGACCCTACCATCCCACAGCTTCCTCCTTCTCATGCCCCATTCAAGCAGCCCCAGTCCACCTTTCAAGATAAACATCTATCCAAAGAAGGCCGGAGGACATCTCCGGAGCTCAGTTATTTTGTGAGTCCGGGGAGCCTGCCAAGGCAGTTGAGAAAACAAAGAAACCTGGGGGACAGGACGGTGCAAGAACATTTGATTTGGACTCAGGATATTTGGCTTGGAATGTTATTTCTGCTACCGGCTAGCAAACGACCTTGAGCGTGTAAGTAATTTTCCTGTTCTGAGACTCACCTTCATCAGTAAAATCAGGAGACTTGGACTTGCTGATCTCTAAGCTCCTTCTGGGTTCTAAAGTCTAGCATCTCTTGTCTTGTGGCTTCACACCTCAACCCCTGAGACCATCACTACCAGAAGGTGCCTGGCACATAATAAGTGCTTAACAAACGATTGCTAAATGAATGAATGAAGGTAGATTATTCTGAACCAGGAGTATGCCCCTACCTCCTGACACTGGGAAAACACAGGAAAGAATAGTGTTGGAGGTCTCAGCAGTAATAATAAGCAACTACATTTGACTGCTTACCATAAATGGAAAGAGTGCAAACAGAAAGAGGGTGGATAGCTGGGTGGAGCACAGGAAACAATGACTTCTGAGATGGCAGGGATTGTTGGCAGGTGTCAGTAAGGGGGAAGAAGGAGAGAGGGGAATAAGCATTTATTTGTCACCGATTATGTGCCAATGTGCTAAGCACTTTATAAATATTTCATTGGATTCTCACAACAACTCTGGCAGGTAGGTGCTGCTCTTATGTCCATTTTACACTTGAGAAAATTGAGACAAACAGGAGTTAAGTGACTTGCCCAGGGTCACACAGCTAGTGTCTGAGGCTGAATTAGAACTCAGGTCTTCCTGGTTTTAAGCCCGGTGATCTATTCATCCCATCAACCAGCTCTTTACAGTTAGAAGAATGCTAATGAGGGTAAATAAAGGATGTTTTCTGCTGGTGAGCAAGGCTTTCTCCACAGAATCATGGCAGTTAGCTGGTTAACTTTTCAAAGATGGTGCCTCTCACGTTAGCTTAAAGCATAATCAAATGGCCCAGATTTCATATTCTAACCTTTACTTATGCATCAAACTCAGATTCCTGACCCATGTATGCTCTGGCCCAGAAATAATTAGGAGGGCTCTGGGCCTCTTCAGTTATACTAAGTCCCAAAGTACCAACTTTATGAGCATCAGCTACTTTAATGATATCCAACAGAGCAGCCATGCTCAATGTGAAAGTTTGCCTAGAGTATATCTGTTTGACACTAGTCCAGTTCATCTAATTGGGGCCTTTACCTTTGCTCTTCTGGAAGAAAACCAAGTCCTAGGAAACTTGAGGAAAGAAATCTCCACAGGGAGACCCAGTCTTATCTCCTAGTCATCTCCACATGGCGGACTCTGATCCTCTTGCTGAAAGGATGAATTAACTAGCTTCCCGGGTTAGGGTGACACAAGTACTCTGACTTTCTCTGCCATTTGGCTACTGAATATATTCAATGACGCTTCATTATTGTCAGGAGTAACACCTATTATAAAGGAGGCTTCTATTCAGGGAAAGTAATTAGGAAATAATTGAGGTAGAAAAAATTCCTGCAATAAAGCATTTTAAAAGTAATGTCTTTGAGGTAGATGACAATTTATTTAATTCTTATTCATTCCCAAACCACTAGAATACTCAAATAACTAATTTCTTTTCCCCAAGTTACTGTACAATGACTGATATTCATAAGGATTTAAGGTAAAAGACCCTGAAGTACTAAATGTAAAAAAAAATTATGCTTGTCATGTCATAGCTAGTACTGCATATTTTAACTGCATTTTTAAAAATTTGGTAATCTACTTATGATTACACATGTCCTTCTATTTCTAAGAAGTAACCCCCTCGAATTCCCTCCCCTTTCTTTCATATGGATAGCCACCCTTCTTCAAGGCCAGGCTAAGCTCCTCTGGCTGAGACTTTCTGATGATACCACCCCAGGCCAACTTCACCTTTCTCTAGTTCTTGCCAGGACAGTCTGGACATGAAATTCAATGAATGCTGTCAACCAATAGTTTTGCTTGTTAATCTGCTTCCCTAGCTTGTAAACTCGTGAGAAAGATTATAGTGTCCTATCGAACAGCACAGTGCTGAGCACAAAGTCATGCCCCCCCAAATGTTGACTGATTAACCAAAATATTCAATTCAGAAAAATTCAAACTTCAAATGAGATAGTGGATGAAAAGCACTTTGCAAACCCTGTAGCACTAGAATAAATGAGCTATTATTTCTCCAATATTCTGAACGGAAATCTCCTGTATTTCAAATGTCAAGAGATAAAAACCCATACCCACAGTGACCCCACAATGAAGTCAACAGCATGTGGCTGGAGACCAGGAACCAGGTTTCCCATTTCCAGTTTCTTGCTATATACCACACTGACTTATTTTTCAAGATCTCACTCATTTCTTTTTTTTTTCCTTTTTATTTAGAACTTAAGCTCCAAATAAAACAGGTATTTCCACATACATGGTAGGCCTGAAAAGAAGACTGTACACACAACTACAGAGCTCTATTATGTACAGGTTGCTATTCTTTGTTTCACCTGTTGACAAGAACAATTTTGGGAATGGGTACTTTATGCTACTCTAAATTTCATCAAATACAAAGCACAAATGGTCAGGGCACAGTTGAATTTTATTGAGTTCCTTTCGGAGTCATGATTCTTGGCATCAGAGACCACAACCCATAGTTACTTCCTTCCTAGAAAGGATGGAACCCGATTTATTACCAGCTTCTGCTTGGCCTCTGTTTGTCCTCTTGGCTGCAGGAAAGGAGTTGAAGGTATGGAGGGAAGGAGTAAAAGAGATAATAAGTAGGAGATGCAGAGGATAATCCATCCCTAAGGGGAATCCTGAAGGGCCAAAACCTCATTAGCTCAAGCTACTGAATTAGACCATCCAATGTGGCCAAGGGAACTTCATCTAACTCCAAGAGTCTTACATCAACAGAGCCTTTCAAACACGCAGGTGAGGGAGGTAGGAAGTGTTTCCTGGAATCACAGCTTAGTGTGAACCTGCTGCCAACCTTATTAGGCCAGAGGCTTGGAGAATATTTCAGGACTAGTCCCTCTACACTCCCACTCTTCTCCATTTGAGGCCCAGCCTCCCCTCCCCCCTCCCCCAACCCCATGCCTGCCCCCAATTACAGCCCATAGTCCATGTGTCAAGCTTCATTTGCGCTTCTTCTCTTTGTGTACTGGTGAACCAAGAGTCTAGTAGTTTCTTACTATAGTAGAGCTGCCAGGCATGCACCTGGACAGCCACTACCAGCACCAGGTACATGATGGCGACAGCAGAGATGCCAAAAATGACACGGTATGCCTTGCCGTGGAGGTACAGCTGCTGAGCGGCAGGAAACATCTCCATGGTGCCATAGATGAGAGGGGCAATGGAGAACAGCCCCGTGCTGATCATGGAGAGCACCAAGTAGCTTATGTTGTTTCTGGGGAATGACAGCAGGCCAAAGCCAGAGGGCACAATGCTCAGCAGGTAGGGGTATTCCCACTGGTAGGGCATGGCAACTTGATCGTAGGACAGGAGCTTCAGATGCCCCCACACACATCTGGGCTGCTAACAGGAGCCAAAGACCTATGTGAATGTAGATCAGCCTCTTAATCTCAGTCTTGAAGGTAACACTGTGGGGCAGAGCAAAAGAAGAGTGCATTTAGTGTCTAGGGAATACTGGGAAAGGCCCTTTCTGTGATACGTGTACATTTGTTTCTGTTTTGGCTTCATGCCCCAGTGGGAATGAAGCTGGTGAAGAGATGCATAACAAGATTGGGAAGTCTGTAGTGAAAAGCTTAGGGGTCATTCCAGAAGCAATGTGGGCAGCATAGGGAGGCATTTTACACACACATGACCTACGAGAAAGGGCAGGTTTGGATGGGCCACTGGATAGAATTTTAAAGAGGTAAGGTATAATGAGAATGAAAGTAAAATTAGGTGTTACCAATCTACTAGGGAATTCCCACTTTCCTTACAAAATGTAAAACTCCTTGAGGGCAGATTTGTTTCATTCTGTGTATTTTTATCCCCAGTGACTAACCTAAGGCCTGGTGAATAGTAAGTGTTTAATAAATTGGGGTTAATGATTAATTATAGGATCATAGAATTTAAATAGCTGGGAGGGCCTTTAGAAAGCACCAAATCTTGCTCACATCTTACCTCCCCTATTAGACAATAAACCTGGACCTCACAGAATAGGAATTTAATGGGTTTTGGTTGGATGAATAGAAGGGCAGTCTGGGTCAAATGGATGGGGGATGGGGGGAGAACCCAAGCATAGGTCGGAGGTCAAGTCCTTGAATGGCGAGTAAACTTCTGACAATCCCTCCCGGTCCCACCCCTCCCCCCACGCCCAAAGGTGGAGAAACTCCCAAATACGGATCATATTTGTATATGAAGCGGGTTTTGTATTCTTTTGGGGGGGAGGGGAAGTGGATGAAGGGAGAGGTGAGGAAAAAAATAAATGCTTAAAAATGAACATTGAAGCGAATTTGTTTTCTATTAAAAAAAAGCAAACACTCAGGAAAAGGTGAGCACTGGTGAGTGGTCAGGCGTTTGAAGGAATGGGGGGAGGTGGCCTAGCAGGAAATTTTTAAATGGACACAGGATGAATGGAAGGGACTTTTCTGGGTGTCAATGGCTGGGCGCATGCGGGGCCCCACCCGAGGAAAGCCCCCACCCCTAACCCCGCCGGGGGGGGAGGGGCTCGATACACGTTCCCGGATGCAGCAGGGTCGCCCCTCCCCCACTCCATCCCGCTACATCCCCACCTCCCCCAGCCCCGGACCCGCAACGGGGAGGCCCGGCCAGGGGCGGGGCAGCCGGCAACAGGGCGCCCCACTCCTACCTCATCTGGTAATGCGAGGCCACGCGCTCCCGGTGCCGATAGTCGCTGCCGTCAGTGCCCGCCGCCCGAGGCCCCGCGCGAGACGCCATCGCCCCAAGCCCGAGCTGAGGCCCTAAGAGCTAGCGTGAGAACGAGGCTGCCCACCCGACGGGCTGTCGCAGCCGAGCGGGAGCCGAGACAAGCCGAACGCGGCCGAGCGGGAGCCGAGACAGGCCGAATGCAGCCGAGCGGGAACCGAGCCCGGCCGAACGCTGCCGAACGGGAGCCGAGTCGAGCCGAGCCCAGCCCCTCCAGCTCCTTCTCCTCCCTGCGGAGGGAGGACTTCCGGTCTCTCTAGGCGCTTGGAAGACCAACTCGGTGATCGTGCCTTGTGCATGAATAATCCTTTGCTCTCTGTGTTCGCACGTGGATTTGGGGATGAGGCTTATGATTTCTGCCCTGGAGCTGGGGGAAACTATTGCTTTGTAATTCCTTCAGGGACGTTGCGTCTGAGCTTCCAAGAATCTATGCCTTGATCAAGCACAAGATAGTTTTTGGCCTTGGGAGTTTACCCAATTTTGGGGGTGTGACTGGAGAATGGGACGAGGCAGGGAGGGATTGAGGGGTGGGGAGGGTAAGAAAAGAACGGGCAGGTTACAAGCGTTAGAGGTGAAAAGGACCGTTATCTAGTCCAACATCTTCATTTTCCAAATGAAGAAACTGAGTCCCTGAGAGGTGAGGGGAAGTTAATAGCAGAACTGGGTTATGAACTCAGGTCCTCTAGAATTCAAGTCCACTGAGCCGGCACAACTGGGTTGGGATGAGCGAGTAGCATGTGCACCACCACCATCATTTATTTATGCCTCCCTCATCCCAAGGCCAGATTGAAGTCTTAATAGGCCCTGGAAATCCCTGTTTCCTGTGCCTTTTGCTGGATGCATTTTCATAAAAGTATGTGATTTTGCGTGATATGTGATATCTTGAGAGGCTCATCTGTGGTATTAATCTTTCACTTTATATAAAAAAAAATCAACATTTTGACATGACTGCTTCTTTATGTACACATTATGCCTATCCTTACTATAGCTAATATAATTATGTATTATATATAAAAGGCAGGCATAGTATATATATATATTTTGTTGTTGTTGTCCTCGTTGTTTAGTCACGCCTGACTCTTGTGACAGGTGGACCATGCTGTCCATGGGGATTTCTTAGCAAAGATACCAGAGTGGTTTACCATTTTCTTCTCCAGTGGATTAAGGCAAATGGAAGTTAAGTGACTTGCCTCACAGATAGTAAGTATCTGAGGCTGAAACTGAACTCAGATCTTCTTGACTCCAGGTCCAGGTGATGTAAAAGCAAACAGTGCCCTAAAAGCTAAAAGCTTTTTTAAGGAAACAAATTTTGCAATACCTTGGGAGGCCCCTCCTGAACTTGAGAGCATCCTAGAGTCTCTTTCCCTTATCTTGAGATACCATAAAACCTCCTCCCTATCCTGGACCATTAAAATGCCTTGTCTCCCTCATCATGAGTCATAAAATTTCACCTGTCTTCTTTATCCTGGGTCCCCTATCCTGTCATCCATCTTCCTCATCCTGTGTCATGACAGTCCCCCCCCCTTATTTTGTAAGGTAAAACAGACCCCTATCCCTCTGTAAGTTGCTAGTCCTCTTTCCAGGACAATCTGATGCTTTTGCATCAATAAAGCTTCCAGTGGTTACAGGGAAGGTCTAAGTGAATTCTTTCACACCTGAACCAGCTCTCCCAACTCTAAACCTCAACACAGGGCTTTATCCACTATGGCATCTAGCTGCTTCTTGTGTGTGTCTGTGTCTGTGTCTTTGTATATACATTGTCAACAGGAAATCACATCACAAAACATACATGGAAAACTGGGTTTATTACAAGTCTTCGATTACAATAAAGGAGAGACATCAATCCCCTCCTAAATGGGAGTGTCATGGGAGGAAGAAAGGACAATTCCCTCCCAAAGGGAGGAGAACTCATGAATAAGAAGATGGCAAAAGCAAAATTCTTTTCCTTTGGTAACCCCAAGACTTCGAAGACGTGAAGGTCTGCTATTCTGCAAAGCTGCCAGTTGCACAAACAGTTTCTCAGTCTGGTGCAGGCTGACTTATGCCTATCTTGACTCCCGAGGACACACAGAGAGTTCTAGTTCAGCTTGGGGTGCAAATAAATTATGTCAGCTAGGGGACAGGGGTGTGCTTCATCCTCCACACATTCAGGGCCTCTTGCGTACTCTGAGTGTAGTGTTTCTGGAAAATGCGTCAACTCAAAAAGACAAATTCAGGAGACTCTTTAACCACACACACACACACACACACACACATTTTCCTTAGTATACATGGTGCTGGCCAGCATGTTAGAGAGGCCACTGCCTGTGAACAGGGTTGGGATTTTTAGATGAGTATGGGTGCCTCAGAGATGGTCTGTACTTATATTATTTTCCAGACAGTGGTGAAGGTGATCAATTAATATAGAAATCATAATTCCCTTCTCACTATCAACCTTTACTTGCTGTTGGTCCAAAACAAGGGGAACAGCTGATTTCCATTTCTGAGAACATCTGCTGGCTTGGCACTGTGGCATCTATGAGCTTCAAAAGAAAGAACATATTTCTGTGGCTTCTGCCTCAAAAGCCCTCTGCCAGCAATGGTGTATCAGGGTAAAGAGAAGTAATTTCAGAGGAAATCTGTATTGGCTACTATGGTGTTCAAGGAGGACTAATACCTCTGGTGTGAGGGCTTGCTGAGTCCTTTTCAGGGCTGCTCATCCACCTTTGGTGTCTACCGGCACTTAGCTCTCACCTGTGACTCCAAGAAGCTATAATATGCACATTGGTCCCACTGCAGTAAAACCGTCTTGGCAGGCCAGGTTAAACCAGGTTGAGGGAAACTGACAATGGCGTTGGTGAGTTAGGGAGCATATCTGTCCCAAGTGTGAAGACTTCCCTCCCAGAAAAATGGACGGATGAGAACAATTTGTTCCAGTGGCCATGAAGGTGGCTAGGGCAAGCGTCATGGAACACTGAGAGCTTGGACAGGTTAGAGTGAACCAGAAGATGCTAAGGTCATCCACTGCATCCTGGGCCATTACCAGTCTTCCTGACTTTTGTCTTGCCAGCGGACTTCTGATGACTCAGGAAGAGAAAATGAAGCTGATGACTTCGTGCAACTCTGGCCTCACTTAAATCCAATTTATGCATGAGTCAGGACATCCCCCATGATGTCAGTGATGTCATTGGCCCTCTCCAAAAAAAGAAGGACAAACAACAATAACAACAACATCAGGGTAAAGGCATGGGCTGTCCATAGGCACTATGAGTTGTGGTTAGGATAAATGAAGACTTGGCTTGTACTATATGGATAGTAAGGGGAACTATATTTCTGGTGTTACTTTTTCTGTAAGTTTTGGTTCTATCTATGCCTTTGGGGTTATGGACCAGGGCTATTCATTTTACCTAGAAGTAGAAGATGCTTATGACTTGGCCCAGAGAGCCATCTACTAGACTACCTGTCAGGACGTCTTCTCAGGAAGCGTGATCAATCTCTACCACATGGGAGAGGATGGCTATAGCCCTGCTCCAGAAAAAATGCAGCTGATTTGAATGACAGATATGGGGAGCCACTCTCTGAAGGAGGTTGAGAGGTTGGCTTTCTTGGTTAATACATAATTATATAAAATGTATGGATATAATACTATGTATGTATATACACACATACATACATACACATACATACACACACACACAGAGGCAGTGAGGTGGCACAGTGAATAGAGTGCTGAGTGTCAGGAAGACCTAATTTCAAATCTAGCCTCAGTTGTATGACCCTAGGCAAGCCACTTAACCTCTGTTTGCCTCAGTTCTTCATCTGAAAAATCACTTAAGCGGCTAAATGATGATTCCATGTTCTGTTCCCTATCAAAAGTATAGCCCAGGGCTCAATCTCAGATCCTCTTCTCTTCTCTTCTCTTTCTTCTCTTCTCTTCTCTTCTCTTCTCTTCTCTTCTCTTCTCTTCTCTTCTCTTCTCTTCTCTTCTCTTCTCTCTTCTCTATAGCCTTTCATTTAGTGAACTCATCAGCTCACATGGTTTCAATTATTATCTTTGTGTCTATGACTCTCAGATTTACATGACCAGACCTCATCTCCAAAACCAAACTCATCAGCTTTCTCCTATAAACCTGCCCTTTCTCCAAACTTTCTTATTTCTGTTTAAAGCCTCCACTGTTCATTCTAACTCTTCATGTCTCATCAGTCGACAACTTTTTCAATTTAATCTCCATAATATTTCAGATGTGTCTTTGTCCTCCTCACTTACTTGCCCATCACACTAGTTCAGGAACTCTTGTCTGGACTATTTCCATAGTCTCTCAATTGGTCTCTGCATCATCTCTCTCCTATCCTACCCTTCCTCCACATTGCTGCCAAACTGACACTACTGAAGCACAGAAATGACTATATGACTCGAGAAACTACTTCCCCTAGTCATAGAGATTAGCAGCTTCCTACTAGGATGAAATGTTTGTCTCTGTCATTCAATGCCCTTACAATCTGGATCTAATTTATCTTTCCTGTAATTATTTTTTCCCTTAATTTATGTGACTCCTCCTCGCCCATTTTAGATTTCAGTTAAATTGACCTCCTTCATATTTCTCCTACATAACCTTTTATTTCTCCCCATTACACAGGCTTTCCTCCATGCCTCACCTCCTCTCCTCTCCCTCTTCACTTCCATCTCTTGGATCCCCAATAACTACATTATACAACTACAAATACAACCCTCCCAATTACTTTGCATTTACTTATCTGTATAATTAGAATTTAAGCTCCTAAAAAAGAATGTCAGATCCTTGAGGACAGAGACAATTTCTTTTTTATCTTCTTATCCCCAGTCTAGTAAATGCCTTGAACATTATAATTGCTTAATAAATATTTGCTGAATGAAAATGAGGCAGGGATTAATGCTGAATCCTCATTCTTCATCACCATGGTGTCAGTAATGTGATAGGCAAATTCAAACAAACTAAAAGGGCAACCTTGTCTAGGAAATACACTATAAGGCCTTTTATTTTTGAGAAGCCCCAGATATAATGTCTGTTGAGTCTGCTGGATAATGTGCCCTGCTGGGTGCTTGGCCCTTGGGGCCAAGTTCTGAAGGAACATACATGTACTTTCCTATATTTGGGAAGGGAGAGGAGAAGAAATGATCAGTCCAAGCCAATGCCTTAAGATTGCATAAGACTGAGATTCAGAAATCATGGGCTCCTCTAGGCAAAGAGAGCTTGCTGATGTTGGTGAGACTGTTGCAGGGAAGGTGTCAACTTCACTGTTACTGGTCTAGGAGAACACACTGTGTTCAAAGAAATATGGCATCCCGGTGTAATTTGCAGGGACTGCAAACTTTGTGAACAATGAGACAAAGTATCAAAGGTATCCATGTGCCCAAATGAGTCCAGTCAGCTCATCTCTCTGTCTCTTAAACAAGATATGAAATTCCTTGGACAAGTTGAAATCTTTGACAAAATGTAACCTTGCCTTACTCTAGCTTCTCTTTGCTCTGATGATGTAGCCCTTTGTTCTAGTGATATTTTGGCACTAATATAGATCTAAAATTTGACACCATATTGATGACATACGTGAACTTATGTTGATCCTTGAGCTATGCTTTTAAAGAAAGACTAGGAATGATTTGATGGTGAAGCATGCAAAGAGGGTACAGAATAAGACATACATTTTCAGTAATCACATTTTTCTTTTTTTTTTTGTTTGACTGTGCTTATTTGTCACAGTAGGGGTATGGAGGGAAGTTGTTTGGAAATGATAATGATGTTTAAAGAAAAGAATATCAATTTTTTAAGAGGAGACTAAGGACACTCATCCTCACAAAAGGGGAGGAGAGACATCACCTTCCATAAGAAAAACAGCAGACTTGCCAGAGCAGCATGCAGAAATCTGGCAGAAATTGCTACCAAAATTTCATAACAAATATTA